AGACTGAACTAGCCAGGTGCCCCTGACTCATTGTATTTTAAAGAGACCTTCTTCTCTTTGTTTTTTTAAAAAAAATTTTTTTTCTACGTTTTTATTTATTTTTGGGACAGAGAGAGACAGAGCATGAACGGGGGAGGGGCAGAGAGAGAGGGAGACACAGAATCGGAAACAGGCTCCAGGCTCTGAGCCATCAGCCCAGAGCCCGACGCAGGGCTTGAACTCACGGACCGCGAGATCGTGACCTGGCTGAAGTCGGACACTCAACCGACTGCGCCACCCAGGCGCCCCTCCCTTCTTCTCTTTCAACACTGCATCACGTATGTTGTCATTGGTGGCGGTGTACATTTCTGCTAGATTTTGAGTTTGATTTTGAGGGGTCTTGTGTACTTTTTTTTGGTAACTGTAGAGTTTGCTTGGCACATGATAGGTGTCGATAAATGTTTTTTTGAATAAATGTGAAGGTAAAATCTCAGATAAGTCTGTCTTTGATGTGAGTTAACGTGAATATGCTCAGCTTGTGCCTCTGTAATAACTACATTTGGGATACAGTATTAAAAGCTTGATAAAGAGTCCTTTTTTTTTTTTTTTTTTTTTTTAAAGATGTTTATTCATTTTGAGAGAGAGAGTGAAGAGAGAAGGGGAGGGAGAGAATGCGAAGTAGGCTTCACACTGTCAGTGCAGACTCCAACGTGGGGCTCAAACTCACAAAACTCTGAGATCATGACCTGAGCTGAAACTAAGAGTCTGAAGCTTAACCAGCTGAGCCACCCAGGCGCCCCTGAAGGGTCCTTCTAAGGAAGAATTTTAGCTTACAGAATACCATATTGTGGCAAAGGAATTTTCTTTTGGGTATTCAGAAACCTGTGAAATATTCTGTTCAGTTATGTACTATTATCTTTTAAAAATAGTAATATGTGGGGCGCTTGGGTGGTTCAGTTGGTTAAATGTCTGACTGTTGATTTCAGCTCAGATCATGATCTCATGGTTCACGGGTTTAGGCCCCATTTTGGGCTATGTGCTGACAGAGTGGGATTCCCTCTCTCCCTCTCTCTCTCCCCCTCCCCTGTGTACTCTCTTTCTCTCTCTCTCTCTGAATAAATACAAAATACTAATGTGTTTTTTTATGATGTGGAAAGTTCAGAAAATACAGGTTTGCAAAAGGGACATTAAAATTTCTAATCTCTTTTTTACGTGTTGAGATGTTTTGTTTCTTTTATTTTTTTATGCACATAATATAGTTTTTCCTATAAAATAGCACTGTATAGGGGCGCCTGGGTGGCGCAGTCGGTTAAGCGTCCGACTTCAGCCAGGTCACGATCTCGCGGTCCGTGAGTTCGAGCCCCGCGTCAGGCTCTGGGCTGATGGCTCAGAGCCTGGAGCCTGTTTCCGATTCTGTGTCTCCCTCTCTCTCTGCCCCTCCCCCCGTTCATGCTCTGTCTCTCTCTGTCCCAAAAATAAATAAACGTTGAAAAAAAAAATTTAAAAAAATAAAAAAAATAATAATAAAATAGCACTGTATATATTACATTCTGACCTGTTTCACTAATGACATAAATAAATGCATATAAAATAAATGCTATTCCTTTATAATTTCCATGGTTGATTTTTTATTGTGTGAATACACAATGATAATAAAAGTTGCATTTGTTGACTAATTACTGTGTGTCAGTGGGTATATCACTAAGGATTTTTGCATATTTCCTCGTATAATATTCATTATTTAAATCCTTCGAGGTGGACCTAACTATTGTCTCCTTTTTAGAGATAAGGAAGCTGAGGCAGAGAGTATTTAGGTCTTTTGCCCAAGGTCACATAGCTAGTAAGTAGTAAAGCCAGAATTTAAACTCCACTGATTTGGCTTTGGAACCTGGGCTTTTAATTTAAACTATAATACATTTAACCATTCCTCTTGGTGGGTATTTTGATTTTTCAAAGTTGTGCTTTTATAAACAGTAGTGCAAGAAACATCCTTGTAGCTCTATGTTTTTTAAAAACTATCTTGTGGGTGAGGCAGTGCACAGTGGTTTAAAAGTTACCTGTTGAAAATTGAGTCTTTGTCACAAATATGTTCTTTTACTTACAGACTACCATGATTAGTACTTTCTTGTGTATCTTTCCAGAGCCAGTCTTTGAATATATAAGTGTATATATAAATGTCAACCTCTTTTAAAAATACAAATAGTAGGGGTCGCCTGGGTGGCTCAATTGGTTAAGTGTCCAACTTCGGCTCAGGTCATGATCTTGTGGTTCGTGAGTTCAAGCCCCGCATCAGGCTATCTGCTAACAGCTCAAAGCCTGGAGCCTGCTTTGCATTCTGTCTCCCTCTCTCTCTGCCCCTCCCCTGCTCGCACTCTGTCTGTCTGTCTCTCTCTTTCTCTCTCAAAAGTAAATAAATATTTTAAAAAATAGGATTTTCTAACACGTTTGCTACACCTTGCTGTTAGCCACTTAACAATGTACCTTGGTGAATCATTCTACATCAGAACATGTAAACAGCTCTTCCTCCCCTCTCATTTCTTTTTAACAAGTGTGGAGTACACCATTTTATGGATGAGGAAGAACTATATAAATTAGGTTGTAGATTACTTGAAGATTTTATTATAAAACTTTAAAATGTTGCCACCAGTTGCTGAAGAGCTGTTTCAGGGGAAGGAGGTGAACGTTTGAACCAGAGAGACAAAGGAGAAAGGCCTGGATTTGATTTCTTCATGTGGACTACTGAAGAATATATCTATTTAAATGTCTCCAAAGTTGATCTGATCCATATATTGCCTACGTTTTCTCTTTTGTGTTAGGTATACAGATGTACTTGATGTTTTTATTTTATTTTTTTAATTTATTTTTTTGTTTTTAAGTTTATTTATTCTTGAGAGATAGAGACAGAGCATGAG